CACACACACACACACACACACACACACACACACACACAACCATCATATTTTTTCATGCAAAAGCAAAGTGAAAGCTCCCATTGATAGTAGAGCCAGACCTAGATGGGAATAAGAAGGAGGGAGACATGTCTCTCTCCTTAACAACCATCATCTTTAATCACCACTTCTAATTTCTCCTCCCATTGGCTGCCGCAAGCTCGTGATGTGATCCCCATCCACAGAATCAGCATCTTGGAACGTAAAATAAAGTTTAGAGAAAGTTATCAACTCAGTGGACTCACACAAAAGGCACTTAATGTATGCAATTTAATTAAAATTAATTGTGATGCTTTAATCTTTTTTTTTTTGAATGAATCAAGTACTATCTGCACTATGTAATTTATTTATTTATTCTTTGCAATGAAGAAAAACATTGCAGAAAAAGTCTGTAAACTGCTAAAGAGACAGAAATGGAATATTAGGCTTACATTTATCATTTTTACAGAAGTTAATTCTAATCTGTGATCTGCAGCCCACCGCTTTCCCTTTTAAAGGTAGCTAGGTTAGCAATCTAACCTGCAAGTTAGTGTTAAGTAACCAATAAATAAAATACAAAATGTTCGCTCACCAACCCCAGAACACAAACATCTTGGCCGTTCGAAAAGCATGATTGATTAATTCTGTTGGCACATTTATATAATACAAACACTTAGCAATAAACCAGGTATTTAAAAAATTGATTTATGTCAATTTAATACTACAAGATATTTAACACTTTGCCTCTGTTTTTACAAATCAAATACTCTGGCCGTTTATATATTGTAAGTTTAAGTATCTGCATACATTTAGCAGAAGTCTGTCAAATTTGGTTGAAAGGAATCAACGAATCTCACTTCTAACAATAATGTGTCTGAGGTGAGCTGGTCAGGCAAAAACAAAGGGACACCAATTCATATTAAATATACTCTTTAGTCAGTCTAGGTCAGCCATAGACACAGCTACACAGTGACATGCACATTGGTGGGATGTGATGGCAGAGAGACTATGAAAGCAAAACCTGGACATTCCTGAAAATGCCTAAAACCACAAAAGACTACCCATTAACCACATTTTTTCCCTCCATCTTTTTGTCCCTGAAAAACACTGAAGCATTATTCAGCTGCATGAAAAATAGCAATGCTTACTTTTTTGTAAGCAAATAGTTTCTCAGTGGGAAAAATGCAACACAGTATGTCATAGATTCAGGTGCTGTTGGCAAACTCTGTATATGCTGGCTGTATGTGTGTTTCCATTTTGGGTTGGGATTAAAGTCACTACAAAGAGACACCAGCTATTTCAGACAAACAGCACACAAACACATGCACGCACCATTTCCAGTGTATTTATGTGGATCTATTAGGGCCAATACAAAGTCAGCAGGTACCTGCATATTAAGAGTTGTTGTAACCGATAGATAGATAGATAGATAGATAGATAGATAGATAGATAGATAGATAGATAGATAGATAGATAGATAGATAGATAGATAGATAGATAGATAGAT